GCCGGCCCGTACGTGATTGAAGAGGTTTGTGGTTCCAACACGTACAGGCTAAGCAATCAGCTGAAGATCCTGTCTGAGCTCTTCCATGCCAAGGACCTTAAACCATATTACGGTCCGGGTGAGGATGGGGAAAGCGAGGAGGTCATCGAACCTCGCGAGCCGCCAGATGAACTGCCGTCGGAGGAAGCGAACGATTCCGCGAATGCGCGCGAAAATCCGGGAGGGGATTTATCGGATAGCGAGCGGATCCAATTAGCAGCCCCCACGGCCGTAGATAAAGTTCCCACCGAGGCGTCGGATTTACCGGAATCTGCCCCAACTAAGAGAGGTCGAGGTCGACCTCGAAAGGTTCCAGAGACGGTCACCGGTCCAGCGAGGGGCAACAACTTTCCCGTGAAGGAGAATAGAGGGAGAGGTAGACCTCGAAAGACCGTGCCCATCGTTCAAAGGACGGTTGGGCCGATACAACCGAGCGGTAACCGACGAGGGCCAGGACGTTCCCACAAAGAATCGCGAGGGAGCGTATAACTCGGTGGGATGCGGCTATTATTAGGATTTTTTCTTCGCGCAGGGAAATTCATCCGAAATTTGTTGTTTTTTGGATGTTTCAGATGGACCGGAGAATCGTCGTCGAAGAGGAGACCTTCGAGGTGGTCACGCAGATGCTGTTAGATCTGCAACTGGGCCCTGATGCGACGCAGCTAATTGAAGATCTGCGGAGCTTCGCCAGGGTCCAGTTGGAAGGGACCACCCGAAGGAAGCGACGCAATGCCTCGGTGGCAGAGGTTCTCCGGGATTTGTCGTGGGTCGCCCCGAAGAAGGCTTCTCGGGACGCTTCGACACAGACCGAGGACCAGGACAGTGTCGAACGTCCCAAGTCTACAGTGGACCAGGGGGTGCAGACCGTCAAGTCCGGCGTGACCCTTACGTCGGACAGTGCGAGCCAATGGCCAGGATCCAGGGAAACCTGTGGGGCCTCGCACTGGGTCTGCAATAATCCCCGGATCCCTGAGCAGCCTATTCTCCTCCTCGACTTCAGACACGTGCATCTGGGGATCAACGAGGTGGAGAGTGCATGGTGGTTCACTCAAGAACTCCAGTCTCAGGTGCAGGAGCACCTGAGACGCTTTTTGAACCGCCAGGGCGCAGAAGAGCTGCTCGGGGAATGGGCAGGGATGGCTCAGCGTCAGAGGCCCTACGGAGAGGCCCTGCTGCGGGTGGATAACGGACAAGAGTCCTCCGCAGCGCTCTCGGCGCCGGCTCAAGTGAAGAGACCCCGGGAGCTACTGACGCTGGACCGACGCTCACGGTCCATGTGGTCGGGTGCATGGCTCCTGATACTACCATCGTGATCAGGTCGCAGGATGGACGTGCGACCGCCACGGTGGGAGGCGTGACCATCACCGCCTCACAGGGAGTCAGTGCCCAGCAGTCCCCTCTGGCTGCTGAGCAGCCATCACAAGATCGGGAGGCTGCTCAATCTCGGTCGCAGCTGAGGGGCTGCTACATCTGTGGGGAGCCTGGGGTGACCAACTCCCAGCGGTGCCCGAAGAAGGCTACACACTGGCGCTACCCGAAACATCGCGTGCCAGGTGTAGCCAAACGATGATGTAGGCCCTGGAGGGCAAATAAATTAGCCGAAATAAAGAAGGGAGTTTATTATTTTATTTCCTTTCCTTCTTTATTACTTTCAGGTTCCTGATGGCAACGAATCGCGAGTATTCGTCCTGCCCGGGTAGTCAGGACTTGGAGGGGGCTGCAACGGTAGTCGATTCAATTAATCGAACCGTTCGCGATTCTGATTTTCGCGCGTTAGTTCTAAGTATTGAGAGAGAGAGGGGTCGCGCGATCTTTTGAATTAGCAGTTACGTCTCAGCTGTTACTTGTGGAGTACCGCCAAAATAGTTTAGCACAGTGTTCCAACGATTTGCCAATAAAAAAGTTTACTTGGATTTTGGATACGTGTGCAAGGGTGAGCGAGGAAGCAGCAACAGTAGCAGTATCACGGAAGCAGCAGCAAAAGCGACAGCAATTATACAGCAGATTTGCAATCGAGGCAGCACAGCTGATTCGGATCGGAGGAGCACCTTTAATTTGCTTCAACAATTACGGCTGATCACCGTAATTGCACCGCAGGGTAGGTGCACCTCCCTTAATTATCGCGTGACAAAATACATTTGGTATTTTGTCCAACAGCGTTAGCGTTAATTTTTTGTACTCGCGTCGAGCGTTAAATCGCGCCAATATTCGTATCTTCTCTCTCTCTCTTTCTCACCGAAGGTTATTTAACTGTAAATCCTATTCGCGTGCGTCAGTCTTTCGGCCCGACAAAGACTGTAGAGATTTTTATTAATAAAATCTATTAAACTTATTCGCCGATTTCGTCATATAATTTTTCCTAGTAGTTTAAACAATTGGAAAAAGCTTAGGTTTTAATCCTATTATAGCTAGGGGATTAAGTGGATTAGGAGTAAAGTCGCTTACACATAAAACTCATCGTGTGTCACAAGGCACGTGACTTAAGGTGAGTTCAACTCCGCTTGATCGAAGACAACTAAGTTAAATCAGCTGACGTTAAGGTGAATACACGTATTAACATACGTGTTAACGGAGCGGCGGTTTGCTCTCCATCGTGGGAGTTTGTTCTTAAATAAATTTCTCATTTTGCAGATTTATCCCCCCGTTATAATAGGTATTATTCGCTGCTTTATGCTGTGCGGCTAGCCTGTTGCCGCTGTGTTTTGCTCGCTCTCTCTCTTCGCGGCTTATGACGTCACGGCGGCGGAGTTTCTTGAGCGCGTTGCCGTACTACAAGTTTGCGCGCTCACTTTATCGTGCTCACTGTATACTTCTCTGGCCTCGAAATTTGGTTTGGGTTAGTAAATACTCTCGGCCTTACAATGGTCTGTTTATACAATGTGTTTATTTCGTGGCGAGAGTACGCTCGAGAAATTTTACCGCTTTGAAACTTCGTGGTGTTTCCTTTTACACACACATACACTTTCTTTTTAATTTAGCGCGAGTCTCTCTCTCTCGGAATTTTTTTTGCGCGCGCACTATCAATTCTCTTGTCGAGGTTCGTTCTTTTCTTTATGCTTTGTTTTCTTGTGTGTTGGGCACCACTGTAACGGTTGTTGATTTCTTCAAAAGTAAATCGTCGTCCGTTAACAAAATCTATATGTCACCGCTGTTTTTCCCTTCTGGCTAGCTCTGTGCTCGACGCGCAACCTGAAAATGAGCGCGAAAGCACGAAACAACAAAAAAAAGCGATGGTCGAAGGTTCTTAGAAAACGTTGTGAAGGAGAAGGGAACGTAGAGAAAATTCGGGACTATCGAATGAATTTGCTGACTTGCTTAGCATATTTCCAGCGAATTTATTCACTACTTATTTTCACATTAGCGCACATTCCACATTGACCGAGAGATTCGCGACGCACAGCCTAATTATACGTACGCGTGAGAGAGAGACGGAAAATACAATTACGAATGGCACGCAGCCGACGCTGTTTACATACGCTTACTTCCCGGAATTCTCGCACGCAATACTATTACAACGAAAGAGACTTACGCGGGCGAACGCTGCTGCAGACAGCTACGCCTTAGGTTTCGAACCTAGCTATTCGATCGACGTCGCCCAGAGTCGTCTGGGGTGAGTGTCCTATCGGCCTGTCCTTATGGGTGGTGGGCGACGTGTCGAGCCCCTCGGCTCGTATGATAGCCTTGAATCGGCCCCCGTTGATCCTCGCTCGTCGTCGATTTTTCCGTGTACTCACAGCACTCGCTCCACACCGTTCTCGCTGGTCACCATACGGGATCGATTCTCCACTCAAGTTTTCCACTCCGAGAAACAAAAGGATTCCGAGCAGGTCTTATCCGCTTGCCGGTCTCACGTGTACTCTCAAGAGCCCGCGTGTCGTAGCTATCTCTCTCTCTTTCTCGCTGCGCGGGTCTTTTGCGCATGGCGCGCTTTTTCGAAAATCGCTCATTCATCTCTTAACGAGCCCGCTCGTTACAATATATAAGAAATTTAACTATAATGATAAAAATAAGCGAACTATAATTTTTGATCTATTTGTTAATAGAAGCTAAGTTAATTAATTAATGGCATGACAAAAACAATATTATTTTATAAATTAGAATTTGTAGTTACATATTTTCATTAATACCGGATTTAAGGAGTGATCTTAAAATTCGAACTGTTCGAGCTGTAAACAAGAAATTACTATTTATTTTACCCTAATAAATCAGTCTTGCTTATTACTTCAAAATTTCGTAAGATAATTCATTTTCATGAATTTTTGAGCTATCGACGACAAAATATGCATCCATTTATACAAGAAATTTATAAAATTCGAAAAAGCTAATTGAAATAAATAATTACATTGAACAGGATGCACATGTGTTGCGTAGTTCTTTACTTTCCTGTTATTCTGCAGTTTTGCGAGATTTTCATAAAGTCTGATGACTCTGAACGACATGGTTGCAAGCTATCCCTTTTTTATAGGCTCCGAAATTATCTCTTTTTAAGAATCGCCAGATGCAAGAAAATTGTCGTTTATGATTTTTTTATCTCTTCGGCAGTACGAAGTGTCCGTTTTCTGATTTACTAACGAATAGTATGAGGGAAGAAAGACGGCCTTAAACGTTTGACATTTTCCTGACCACCGTTACAATGTCAGCGATTTTTTTAAGAAAACGATGTTCACCCTGCTAGTGATTATTTCAATCCCATTTTCAAGTCATAATTATATTGAATCTTCTTTTAATTACTACAAATACAGGATTTCTTTAAAGATTTGTAGATTATTTATCTACAAGATATTATTACTTTCATTACTAAATACATATATATATATATATATTCTTGTAAGTAATAAGGTATAACTTTTGAAAATAAAATAGGTAAAATAAAATAAAATAAAATAAATATTTATTATTTTAAATGTCAATATTAATCGTTCCGAAGAATTATTCAGACTAAAGATTAATATTATTTCAAGGCGTATGTACAAGATTTGATTCAAGTTGAAGCTAAGAATATATATAAAATGTTAGTGCATGAGAAGGGACATTTTTACGTGTGTGGTGATTGTACTATGGCTGAAGACGTTTATCAAACTTTGAAACAAATCATTAAAACTCATGGAAATATGACAGAACACAAAGTTGAAAATTACATGCTATCACTTCGCGTAAGTTGTTAATCTTATCTATATTCTTATTTATTTATATTATATTCTTAGTTAATCTTATCTATATTCTTCTATTTTATATATTATATGCTATAATGATATCAATCTTGGTTAAGTGAAATTATAAATGATATATTTATACTGGCATCTTAATATTATGATTCTACATCTAGATATATTACTTATTATAATAAACAATATGAAATTTGTGTCACACTCTTCGACTACCACCAATAATGCTGCTTACGATCGTCGAAACAAATTATTTAAGAGGGGAATTCAGAAGCCGTGAATACTTTCACGATAGAATACTGCACTGGGTGTTGTGATGTTAATATCACCTTATCTTTATAATATTGTTCGTACTCTCGTGGTCTATCGCGTTAATAAGTAAGAATTTGTTTCAATTTTCCAAAATGCTTATTGTAACAGGCTTCTGTTTAGTCGACAATCTCTTGAAAGTGCCCGTATTACGACTAGACGAAGCCTTGTTATCTCTGTGCTCGAAGCACAGTAACCTACCTTGCCTCGGAGTGCGCCTGCGCAGAGTCTCCTTACGATTCCAAGTTGGGTACCCCCAACTCACCGCTTGGCGGCGCTGTCGCCCCTTGCTAGTAGCGCTCGTGCGGCCGTCGCTGGAACCTAAGTTGTCGATTCCCGCCTACCGATATTCACGTGATTCGTGCTACGCAACCGGCGAATTCGAATCCACTGTAAATAAACACTGACACGACCTCCGGACAAAGGAAAGACACAATAACCGAAAATCGTTTAAATAAGAATAATGATTGATTTATTCAACTAAATCAATGACACGGGGAATCTGCCGAGAGTTCTGCGCACGCTCGCGTGAATGACAATATACGCCGTAAATGAGAGAGAGAGAAAACCACGGATGCCGCGAACTAATCGCTCGCGCGCAACAAACAAATTGTTCGCGCTCGCTGCGCGGGATCGCACGCAAATTAACAACAAATGAAAAGGGGAAAAGGTGCACCTACCGCAAGAACGATGAGGATACGGTGGCCAACCGTATCCGACTAGCGAATCGTTAAACTACCGCTTCGCTGCTTGCCGCACCACCGAAACTACTGCTGTTGTTGTTGTTGCTGCTGCGGTTGCTTCTGTTGCTGTTATAGCTGCTACTGCTGTTGCTGCTGTTGCTGCTGTTGCTGCTACTGCTGTTGCTGCTGTTGCTGCTATTGGCACACCACCAAACACAAAACTCGGCTCGGGAACAGGTTAGCGCGACGCACTGACTAAGTGACACAGTCATACTGCCGGTCGGAGCCTCCCCTCCCGGTCATTGCCCCTACGCGCTCTCTCTCTGTCGCGAACCAAACGCGGCTCCTCTCGCTTAGCCGCTCGTTTACCTCGCGCGAGTCTAACGATTTTCGGTAATCGTTGCAGCCCCCTCCTAGCTTCGAACTACCGGATCGAACTACCCCATTGACTCGCGACCCCAAGGACAGGATTGGGACAGGAGAGAAATCAGCACAATCCATCCTCTTTAATACATGGCTTTATTTGCCCATCCCGGGCCACCACTTCCCCACGTCACCTGCCGGAGCCCCCTGGCGCCTTGTGTCTGGGGTAGCGCCAGTGCTCCGACTTGTTGGAGCATTTGGAGGTCGTGGTTATCCCGGGATGGCCACAGATGTAGCAGCCCTTGCCCGGTCTTCTGCTGAGGCCGGGCTCCGTCCCCTGGCCCTGGCTCCCTGCTGATGGATGGGGCGGCGTGGCTGCTGCTACCGGGGCGGCGGTAAACGTAACGCCGCCCACCGTGGCGGATGTGCGCCCTCCTCGGGTGCGCACCACCACGGTAGGGTCGGAAACCGACCCGTCCACGCGGACCGTGAACTCCTGTCCGGCACCGGTGGCCCCCGAGACTCTCTTGGCCTGAGTCTGCGTCGGGGGCCTGGCCGGAGTCCTGGCCGCGGCTCCATCTGTTGGCGCTGGCGGTGGTAGAACCGCCGGAGAGCCCGCGGCCGCTGGGGACTCCGGTCCCCGGTCTATGCGCAGCAGGGCCTCACCATAGGCCCGCTGCCGCCGGACCACAGGAGCCCACTCCCCCAGCATTTCTTAGGCGCCGCGGAAGTCGAGGAACTCCCCCAGGTGTGCGTGTACCTGGCGCTGGAGTTCCCCGACGAATTCCCACGCATTTTCAAGCTCCTGGAGGCCCAACCTCACGTGCCTCCAGGAGTTTTCAAGCCCTACCTGCTGGGGGACCCGTGGGTGGTTGCAGACCCACTGCCCCTGGCCGCAGGCCTCCCTTGGCCTGGGGCACTGCGTGGAGCCGTCAGCCGTCTTGATCGGCTCTGGGGTCTGCAACCCCCTGGTCCGTCGTGGACTTAGACCGACGGCCCTCTTCGGACGGGCCGTCGGTCTGGGTGGACGCTTCCCGGGTCACGGGCCTGGAAGTTTGGGCCCTCATTCCTTCCCGGAGGAAGTCGTCCACCCGCTGGCGCGAGCGGCACTCGCGAGCGGCCACCTCGACCTGGGCCCGGAAAAACCTGCGGACATCCCCGACCAGCCGATCGGCGTCCGGACCCATCCTCAGGTCGAGCAACATTTGGGTGACCGTCTCGAAGGCCTGTTCACTTATGACCAGCTTCCTCTCCATCTGTAAAAGAGAAGAAGTGGGGTTAAGGGATTTCTCAGGTTCAGCCCTCAACCTAACCGTAGCAGTGTCACGCTCGACGCTATTGCTTACGAGGACGTCCCGGTCCCCTGCACTTTCCTCGCGAACATGACCCATTTGTGGGGGTAGCTGGCAGGACCACCTTCCGCACGTGCTGAGCGGTTCTACGTGGCCTGCCTCTTCCCCTCACCGCATTGCCATCCAGGTCGTCCCCACCTGGTGCCTGAGATTCGCACGCAGGGTTCTTGCGCGGCCTACCCCGGCCTCGCTTAACCGCCGCCTCGATCGGTACCTTTGGAGCCGCCGCGGGTTTCTCACACTCGTTCGCGGGGGCTGCAATCGCGACGCGCTCGCATATCGGATCCTCGCTGGATTCCTCGACCTTCGCTGGCGGGTCGCCTACGCCCTCCTCTTCCTCCAACGGTGTCGAGTCCCCGTCTCCTGGTTCCTCGTTGTCTTGATACGAGAATGGACCGAAATAGGGCTTGAGGTCCTTGGCATGGATCAGCTCGGGCAACTCTTCCTGCTGGTTACCTAGGCGGTAGGTATTAGTCCCACATACCTCCTGAATCACGTATGGACCAGCATACTTCGGCGCCAACTTCGCCGAAACGCCCTGAGCTGCGGAAGACAAGATGCGGTTCCGCTTCCACACCCAGTCCCCAACCCTAAAGTCGGCCTGACGTCTCCTCCGATTGTAGTAGACCGCCTGACGGTCCGCCTCCTCCCTAGACTTAGAGCCAGCGCGTTCCCATAAATTAGGTAACTGGCGCATGTGCTCACCCCATTCGGTCAGTTCTTGGCCCTCGGAAGCTTCCCGAGCCAACTGATCCTGGGCCCTCCTAAAGGTCGAGGGAGGAGTGGGCTGTCTACCGAAGACCAGCATGGCCGGGCTGTAACCTGTCGCGCTGTGAGTTGCCGAGTTCAACGCGAAGTTGAACTCTGGCAGGTGCTCATCCCAGCTCTTATGGTCCCGCTCCACGTACGATATGAGCATGGCCTTGAGGGTTTTGTTCACTCGCTCTGTGGGGTTTGCCTGTGGGTGGTAAACTGGGGTAAGGGCGCGCCGGATGCCGTTCCTCGACAGGTAGGCATCGACCTCTTGATTCTTAAATTCGGTCCCATTGTCCGAAAGAAATATCTCTGGCGCCCCAAACCTGGTTACCACCCTCTCGTGCAATTTCCGTACAATGGTCCTTCCATTGGCCTTACGTACGGGTACACACTCCACCCACCGAGTGAACAGGTCTAAAAAGACCAAAATATATTCGAACCCTCTCGAGCTCTTTGGGAAAGGGCCAGTAATGTCACTGGCCACCACCTGCCAGGGTCGCGAGACCTCTCGACGACCCATCAGCCCGCAAGGCGGCCTTTGTTCCGCCTTGCACTGCTGACATACCGGGCAACTCCTCACGTACTCTCTGACCTGCTCGTACATCTTTGGCCAGAAATACAGGTGCCTAGCCCGGGAGAACGTTCGTTCTCTCCCCTGGTGTCCCGCTGCCGGCGCATCATGTACCTCCTCGAGTACTTGAGGTCTTTTCTCAGCAGGAACCACTAGCTTCCAGGCTTCCTCGTTATCGATGGACCCTTCGCTCTCCTCAGACGGATTGTAGTGGTACAGTCTCCCACCCACTACCTTCCAGGTAGGCTGAGAATGTGGATCCCGGCATACTTCTCTGTATCTTTGTAGATACCAGGCGTCGGCAGTTTCCGGCCGATGAGTCATGGCACCCACTTCTACCACCCCCTCCTCATAGGCCCTAGGTAAAGCGTCTGGCACCACGTTGAGGTCTCCCTTTCGATACTCTATATCGAAAACGTGCCCTTGTAGTGCTAACGCCCAACGCGCTAGCCTTCCTGTAGGATTCCTCATACTGTGGAGCCACTTAAGGCAACTATGATCGGTGATGACTTGGAAGTGGTGCCCCTCAACATAAGGCCGGAACTTCCCGATAGCCCATACTACTGCCAGGCACTCTCGTTCGGAGACTGTATAGTTCCTCTCCGCACTGTTTAAGGAGCGACTGGCATACTCAATTACGCGCTCCTGTCCATCGATTTCTTACGTCAATACCGCGCCTATCCCACTATCGCTCGCGTCCGTTTGTAACACGAACTGCGCGCTGGGATCTGGCGACTGCAAGATCGGTGCCGAGACCATCGCGTCTCGTAACCGTTCGAAAGCCTGCTCCTGTTCCTGCTGCCACGCAAACGGGATACTCTTCTTCGTCAGGCGGTTTATCGGCTCAGCGATGGTTGCGATGTCAGGTATGAAGCGACGATACCACGACATCATCCCCATGAATCGCTTCACCTGTCTGATCGTCCGTGGTACTGGGTACTCCATGATTGGCTT